CCATGATAGTTAGGAAGCATTTGAATGGTTTGCGGTTTAATCTCATTATGATGTGCTCTAAATGGGAGCAATGACTGCATATAGGTACATTGTATTCATTAGGAACATGATGGTCTCTTAAAGCGATAGGAGGATTCACAATTGGTGGTGCTACACGAACACCGTGATTAGCTTGAACCATAGGAGGTTGTGGAGCAAAAATTAGCCAAGGCATTCCCAATGGAATTTGGCCTTGTTGTTGTGGGGGGATGAATGGTCTAGGCATACCTAATGGTACTTGGATGTTTTCATGATGCACATTAGGGTGGAGGATGCCTTGTTGGTCTATGTGACCAAGGTCCTCCATATGGTCGTCATTCAATTCCTCCATTAAAGAAATGGAGTGATGAGAACTACCTTTTCCCCTAACATTACGAACAATGGATTCAAGATGAAAATCAAGAGGGACAATAGTATGATTCAATGACCTACGACCATGCATGCACTGGCAAAATAAACAACAAGCAATTAATCAAATAACAATCACTTCGTCCCCACAACAAATCAATCAACAAATCTCCACATACAATGATCATACTCCCATGCTTGAACAATATGCAAAGAAAAGTAAATTGCCTCCATGTAGGCTCATGATTTATCTAAGAATGTAAATATAAGCCTGCACGCGGACCGACGATTTAACTAGAGATTGAATTAGAAAGATCTCACAAAGGGTCCTTAAGTAACTTCAATTTATTTTCAATTTTCAAGCATTGCTATGCTTTGTAAATTTTTTAGATTTTAGCCCTTTTTGTTTAGCTTACCTCCTTACTTTAAATTCTCCTTTGCTCACTTCCTTTTGCTCAATTCACCTAGCCAAATAAGAACAAATACAATAAGTAACTAAAAAGAAAATAAAGTAAAAACACAATCAAAAGAGTACTAATTCCTATTTTCTTCCAAAGAAATACGACGTTGCCACACTACAACAGATCTGGCTTTTACTAGCGCTCAAAAGCACTAGTAAAAGTCCTAAAAAGCCCTGGTAATTCAATTACCAGCGCTTTACCAGCGCTTTTGAAAAAGCACTGGTAAAACCTGCGTCGGTAAGGCTTTACCAGTGCTTTTCGAGAAGCGCTGGTAAAGGCCTTTTACCAGCGCTTTTCCAAAAAGCGTTGGTATAGAGTATTTACCAGCGCCTTCTAGAAAAGCATTGGTAAAAGGACTTTACCAGCGCTTTTGCAAAAAGCGCTGGTAGAATGTATTTACCAGCGCTTTTTGGTAAAGCGCTGGTAAAGGGTAATTTGAATTTTTTTTTAATTTTTTTTCCCTCCCTCCCTATGCCAGCACTTCTTAAAAGAGCGCTGGTAAAGGGGTTATTTTTTTTTTTTTTTTTTTTTTTATTACCCTTATAGTTTTTGGAAAAAACATATCAATACTACCAACTACTAAATGTCATCTAATATAACACAAGTTAATACAAAAATACCATCCAAATTGTTTTTACATAATACAACCACAAGTTAACCCTGCCAATATGAAAATTACAATCAAAATTGGCTACTAATACAACTACAAGTTAAGCTGGTAAATGTTAACCAAAAAGCAAAAATGTATACTAATAGAACCACAAGTTAACCTGCCAATATACCATCCAAATTGTCTAAATAAAGCTACTAAATGTCAAACAAAAAGAATTAACAATTTTTGACAAATGTAGTACAAGTTTTTCAAAAAGAACCCATCTAAGGCGAAGGAAATTCAAAAAGCACAGCCACGAGCCTATCTTCAACTTCAACAAGTCTTCTTGCCCAGTTGATTTGAATTACCCTACATTTTTTATAAATTCATTACGTACACATTATAATAAATGAAAATTTAACATATATATAAGAGAAATTAAAAGTTCATAACCTTAACTGAATTGGCATCACGACTAGATAATGAATTTGGGAATACTATAGGAGAAGCATTTAACGAATCAGAACCCTTCAAAATAAGAAAACAAAATACATAAAATCTTGGCACAAGTAAACATATATTTAGTAAAGAATAGAACTAATAATAAATATACCTGTCCACTACAATTTTGTTGTTGCATCTGCATTAGCATAGCCACCTGTTGTTGTAAATTTTCCAACTTGTCATCATAGTTGGCTCGTAAATTTTCTAACTTATTGTCATAGTCGGCTTGCATTTTTGAAATGGTCTCCTGCAACTTTACGCGTGCAGTACGTGCCTCCTCATCAGATTTTTTTTGCATTATTAATCAGTTCAGCTTTACTAGGAGAGGGCCCCCAAACATCGCTTGGTGTAGGCCCGAAGCTAAGCATCCGCACAAGACCAGTTCTCTCTTCTCCCCTCACAATGGACAACAAATCATTGGAACTACCAATAGGCGAGTCAGAGTAACTTTTTTGAAGTTCTTCTATCTTTTCCTGCCAAAAAAGTGAAATGTCACTTTCTTGAATGGCCACAACATTAATGACAAATTGTTGTGATTATGTATAGTAGTACTATTAGATAATGCAAAATTTCAAATCATTCCCAAATTTGAAGCTATACTTAGACAAAAAAAAAAAAAAAAAAAAAAAAAAAAAAAAAAATTTGCCATTAGGGCCCTGCGATAGGTATTAATATGATTCTTGGACAACAACCGTCACCTCCCTTTTTAAAAGTAGGTATTGGTTGTGTTCGATGTACTGTACATTTGACACATTAAAATGGTTCGTGTATAACATGCGCAAAAATAAACAACTTTAATCGTCCAATGTACAGAATGCATTGCGCATACTGAATATATATTTTTTTAAAGAAAGGAAAAGTTACATCACTTAACTGAATGTTCACTTAACTGTGAATCTTAATTGAAACTTACTTGGTTACAGAATAAAATTTTGAAGCATGTTATGATGGAAACAAAAATGTGAAACATGTTGTGATGGAAACAAAAATAGTAAGTTTGATCTAACTAACGACCACTTAGCAAAAAAATTATAAAAAGATTCCAAGTCAATAATGGTGACCGACATGTGATCGAATTGAATGGCTTAAGATTTAGTGTCAAAGCTTGTGTACTTACATTATAGACCCATTAATTATCATCATTCAATGAAAATTAAAACAACAATTTATAATCAAGTACACATAACAATTAGAGTATCATATTTTGTACACGCTGAAGACTACTAGATTGCATCTGTTACATAATATAGTTGAACTTTATTTTGGCCATCTCATAATTAATATCAACCACAAAATCTGAGCTCAATAATTAGCATCAACTTAAATGGCGATTAACATTTCCATATTCTTGTTCCCCTGGTATGGTGATAGAATAAAGCACCTCCTATCAAATCAGAGGTTATTGCTGAGAAATATTTGTTCACGTTCCCAAGTAAAAGTTTAAAGGTTCAACTTCTCGCATGTTATTTGTCGCGGAAAAAAAGAAAGAAAGAAGAAACTATGACACATGCGAACATAATTAGGTTACTGCATCACAGATTGCATTGCTTCAAACGCTACATAAAATAGTACATTCTAAAACTTTGAAAACTAAACAGAGGTGTGCCTTTGAAAGATGTTTTTCTATTTTGTTTTAGGACTTCGATGATTGGGGTTGAGAGGAACACATTAAATTGAAGAATTCAGGGCACTAATCAGCAACATGTTGACAATGGGAGAATTTTACAAACAACTGAAGGATAAATTAAGGCTAATGATATTCGTGTTCCACTAACCTCCTCTTTACATCCCTAAAACTTCTCTTCAAATATATATATATATATATATATATATATATATACACATACACTTCAAAACCTCAAACTTATCAAATCACCAACATCATTTCTTTTCCAAAGAAAAAAATAAAAAATCACCAGCATCACATCTTGTCACTTCTAAATTCCAAAAAAATTGTAGGTCTTCTATCTACTAGCTCTCTTGAACCACGCAGCTTCTAGCACAAGAAGAATCCAGGCAAACTTAACGAAGTGTTTGAGGTTCAAATTAAAGGATATATTATTATTATTCCACTTTAGTCTCCATCTTGATTTCTTTCATTTGATTTTCTATCCGAATTTTTCCTCCATTCTTATTATTGCAATATCTTGTAATTAGATTTGAGATTCCAGATGGAGTTTTAGAATCAGAACATACTTTATTAATTTTCTCTCCTCCCTTTATCTACCTTTCCATTATTGGCCTTCATAAAATCTTCAAAAACTTGAATCTCAAGAAATCAACAAAAGGAAGAAAAAAACGTAAAATCAATGAATGTCTCCTTGGTGTGTTTCTATCTTGTATGAATGATTTAATTTCCCAAGAATTAAATGGTGAAGTGTATTTTCTTTTCCTCCTACCCTAACTTGATTGTGATTTTTGAGTTATCAATCAGTTCTCAACCAACAATTTTGGGTTTCAACAAATGTGTTTAACATATTCAAGGACAAGCACGGGATATTCAAAGAAGAACCCAATGACAATCCCAATATAGCAGTAACAGTACACACCAGCAAGGTCATACAATAGAAGTAGAATTTTAGAAAATGAACTCAATATCAATATAATAGAATTTAATAAACTGAACACAACTTCAACAGAACCAGAAATCTAAAAATGTAAACAACTTCACGTTGTGTCCATAATTTCCTAAGAATTACTAGGTGTAGAACAAGGATGAAGCAATAAAACTTAGAAACGAAGAAAAGATGAGAGAACAAATAGAGTACAAGTGTTAATGGAAATTAAATACATGTTGGGGAGAATATGATTGACACATTGACACAAACAACAAATAGCAAATACTTCTCCATAACACAAATCAATCAACAAGAAGCCTCCACATACAATGATCCCATACTCCCATGCTTTTCAACAAATACAAGAAAGTAAATTTCCTCCACACGGGCCGATGATAAACAATGAAATTAAAATGCCTCCACATGAGCCAATGATTTGAAAATTGGTCACTTCAAGGCATGTAACCCCCTAATACACCGCAAAGAGTTTAAAAATTGGTCACTTCAAGGCACGTGACCCCCTTTTTGCAAAATGAAAGTATGAAAACTTACAATCATCTCCGAAGCAGCAGCATCAGTAGCTTTGTCATCCTTATTTACATGTGTGCAAATGAATAAATCTACACGAGAAAGCTGAATACCTTCGTCTTCCTCAATCTATAAAAGAAACATAGACATTGTGATATATATTATTATTTACCACTAACATTTATAATCATTCAATGACATAAGAACTGAAATAATTTATATTGCCAAAACTTCAACTAACCTCGGCAGAAACACGTGCAAAGCTTTTTGTCCCTGTAGTATGCATCATTGTCTGATTCCCACGACGTTCTTTGTTTTTTTTACTGACCTCCTACAAAAAGTGAGAAAAATTAAACGTTCTAACATTCCACCTAAAATAATGACTGAAAGCAGGTAAATAATAAATTCAACTCATTGACTTTAAACAAAATTGGTAGATGGAGGATTACCTTCGCAATAGGTGTACCCCAATGCCTAACCAAAAATTCCCAATGCTCCTTTTCAACATCAAGTGGTGGGTTTGCTAATCTTTCTGCATCTGTATCCCTAACCGAGTAATATTCACTTTTTAATTCACACTTCTAGCCCCTCCATTTTTTTCTGATGGAGGATATTGTCCAATGTTTTGACAAGATTCCCACATCATACTTTCCCTAAAAATGTGATAATTGTTGCATGTTAATCCACTTTTTCCATAAAAATTATTTTAATATCATTGAAGGGTTTTACCTTTACAACGTTCCACATATCCTCCTTCAGCCGTTTAGGCATCTCCCACCAAGTTTTATAGCACAAATGAGCCAATTTAGCATTCCGGGCAAGTGTTCCCAAATAATTACTATATGTACCACTTCCAGGGCCGATCGGCTGTCCAAACTTATTAACCCTAAACAAAAATTAACAATTGTAGATGTTTAGTACAAAAATAAAGATAGAAATCATTTTTTCTCCTTCATATTGAATATAGTCTAATTATGTAAACTATATAAGATGATCTATATATATATGTACCTTAATGGTAATAAGTTTGTCGCGTTTATGACATTCTTGCATCGTGTCGGGCCCCGTCTCTTCTTCGGCGGTGGTTAGGATGATTTTGAAGTTGAAGCTTCAGTATTTTGTTCACTCACTTTTTCCACTTCACTAACCATTCATTTCATTGTCAGCTTATTATTTATCCTTCCTGGAAAAGAAAACAAAAAAGTGAGAATTCATATAAGAGAATGCAATCAAATTGTTTTAAAAAGGCAGTGCACAATCCAGGAAAAATCAATAAAAAGAAATAAAAAATACCTCAAAACTTTAGGGTATTTTTGGTTGTCCAATGGAAATTATATAAAACCATTCTGTTTTGGTAAAATCATTGATTGCACTTATACAATAATGTGCCAAGAATAGATCAAAACATATTAAAAATATATAAGCACACAAAAAAACTAAATCATTATTCATGGGAAGCGTACATGTGCATGCTACAAAATATGATACTGCAATATTATTGTCAAGTTTGCATATATATATATATATAGAGAGAGTGAATCAGAGCTTATAATATCCAAAAAAGACATTTGACATCCAAAAAAGACATTTCACATCCATTGAGTAGTAGATATAGAATCATTCTAAATCTCATCTTCATCAAGGTCATCATCAACATCATTATCTTCTTCTATAGTTGTTCCAAGCAAATCAGCTCTTGTCCAAAACGTGCTATCATCAGGCACATCCAAGTCGTTATCCACATGTTGTGCATGAAATGGCTCATGAACTTGATAAGATTCAATATCATGCTCTGGCATATCATAAAGGTCTTGCGGTTTTGCGCCAATAACCACTTTCCACTCATTGTCAATGGGATCATCAACATAGAATACTTGTTCAGCTTGAGATGCTAGAATGAAAGGCTCATCTGTTCCCAACGATCATGACGAATTAACAAGCTTAAATCGAAAATCATCCTCCTTTATTCCTCTACCCTTGGACAAGACATCAAACCAATCACACTTAAACAATACCACCTTCCTATTTACATTGTAATTTAACTCAATGATATCAGTCAGCACACCATAGTACTGAATATCTCCTGTGATGGGATTTTGATCGCTGGCTCTTACATAACTAGATGTCACTGCCTTTATAGTAACTCCACTGTTCTGAGTCTTTCTCCGTCTCTCAACATCTCTAACATGAAACTTCAAACCATTGATCACAAACTTCTTAAACCGTTTCGCGACAGGGTTTGGACCTTATGCTAGCCACCTCAGCTCATTAGGAATTGGATCCTCACTATCTCGCAATTGTATTCATAAAGATATAACTTATACAATAAGGTAATTTTTCATAAACCTATAATACACCAACACATACACAAAAGTCAAATACTTACACGTTCATTAAACCATTTGTGAAATAAATCATGAGACATCTTCTCTAATTGTCTTGGTTTTAAATAGTGCTGCCTCATCTTAAGAAATCTCTTATGTTTTCTGCATTGTGAAAATATAATGTTAAACATATTGCCTATTAAACTAAATGAAGTTTGACACGAATATAATCATGTAATATATTGGGGAACTTAATGTTACTCAATGAATGGTTCTGCTCCATGATAATTGAACAAAACATACCGATGAGCTTGCACCAAAGTCATCTCATCTAGATTAATGAACTCTTATTTTCCCAAGGCATGACCTTGTGCACCAAAATCATTCACTTCCTCCCCATCAAGCACATTATCGGAATTCCTTTGGGGCCTATCGAATCTCATCTCAATATTCGTCAAACAACGTGAACAAAAATTCAAGCATTCTTCCGCTAAATAACCTTCTACTATTGACCCCTCAGGATGACTTCTATTTCGCACGTAATTTTTCAAAGTCATAAGGTACCTAAATATAAAGAATGAAATTTAATAATATCAGAATTTTTAAAAAATAAACAAACAATAAATGAAAATTCATTAAAAATCTTGACCTCTTAATTGGATACATCCAACGGTATTGCACTGGTCCTGCAATCCTTGCCTCGTGAGCCAAGTGAACAAATAAATGTACCATTATGGTAAAGAAGCCAGGTGGGAATATCATTTCCAATTAACATAGTATTAAAACAATCCGGTGTTCCAATTTATCCAAGTCTTCAGGCCGAAGAGTCTTTGAACATAACTCTCGATAAAAGTTACTGAGCTCGACAAGTACTAAGCAAACATTCTTAGGCAATATCCTACGAATGGCTATGGCTAAAAGTTGTTGCAGCAAGATATGACAATTATGACTCTTCAACCCACTAATTGTACGCTCTTTCAATTTCACACAACGTGAAATGTTAGATGCATACCCATCTAGAACTTTAACATTTTTCAACACTCGACATAATGTGCTCTTTTCAAGTGAAGATAGCGTGACACTTGTAGGGGGCAAATAAAATTTTTTTGAACCACGTTCTTGTGGGTGAAGTGAAGGCCTTACTCCCATATCCTGTAGGTCAAGTCTTGCTTTTAATCCATCCTTCCCTTTCTGATCATTCATCAATGTGTGAAGTATATTGTCACATATATTTTTTTCAATATGCATCACATGTAGATTATGACGCAGAAGATTATACTTCCAATATGGTAATTGAAAGAATATACTCTTCTTTCTCCAATTATGCGGCAGACGCGTCCGATCTTCATGCTTCCGATCTTTATTCATTGTATGTACACTCTTTCCAAATGGTGAAAATTTAAGGCCCTCTAATTCATGTAACAATTGTGGTCTAGATAACATAGGCGGTGCACAACTTACCTCTTTAGTGCCGTCAAATGCTGATTTACAACACCTATATTTATGATCTTTTTCAAGAAAACAACGATGCCCATCATAACATATTTTCTTGCTATGATCTAAGAAATGAGAGCAAGTGTCTTTGTTACAAGTAGGACAAGCCAAATACCCTTTTGTACTCCAATTGGATACCATTGCATAACCAGGAAAGTCAGAAAGAGTCCAAAACAATGCTGCATGCATATGGAACATCTCATTTCTTGAAGCATTATAAGTTTCCACCCCATCAATCCACAACTCTTTTAATTCCTCTATCAAAGGCTACAAATAGACATCAATATCATTTCTAGGTCCCTTAGGGCCAAGTATCAAGGTTGATAGAATAAAATAAGGCTGTTTCATGGACATCCATGAGGGTAAGTTATACACGAGTATCAAAACAGGCCATGTACTGTGTGCAACACTCATGGTCTTGAATAGGTTGAACCCATCAGTTGCTAATACAAGCCTGACATTCCGAGGATCACTAGAAAATGTTGGGTATCTTTTATCAAAGCTATCCCATGCTGGGGAGTCAGCAGGATGTCTCATCAATCCATCCTTGATTCGCTCTTCGGCATGCCATCTCATAAAAGAAGCTGTCTTACTTGACATAAACAATCTTTGGAGTCTTGGCTTCAAAGGAAAATATCGTATAACTTTAGTAGGAATTTTTTAATTTGTTAATGAGGATGATGTACTTGCATTGCCCTCAGTTTCTAAATCAAAAACTTTCCACCTTGACTTGCCACAATTATGACACATTTCATCATTAGAGTGCTCCTTCCAATACAACATACAATCAGAGGGACATGCATGAATCTTATCATATTTAAGACCCAGGTCACCAATCATCTTCTTTGTTTCATTGAAGGTTTTTGGTAATGTCTCGCCATCTGGTAATCCATCTTTTATCGCTTTTAACAGATCAGTGAATGATTTGTCACTCCAATTATATTTAGTCTTCACTAAATATAGCTTCACTACATAGGATAACTTTGAAAACTTTTTACACCCAGGATATAACTCTAGGTTTGCATCTTCCAATAGCCTATAAAATTTATCTAACTCTTCATTTGACACCCTTTGGTGCTGATCATTTCTCCGTTGGTCTCTTCCCTCCCTTCAGTTGGAACACCAAAACCCTCGTGTAAAAGTCCATGCATATCATCATTTTTGTTTGCATTGATATCCTCGTGTGTTGTGTGTACATCAGTTTGCCGAGAAGATGACGGCACTTCTTCCCCGTGATAAAACGAAGTTGTGTATGACTGAATAAACTTATTGCATACCAAATCATCTCTCACCTCAGAACATGTTTGTTTTTATACAATTGCCACAATAAATACAAGGACAATATATACGTCCATCCTTCCCAACTCACTCAAATGAGATATCTAGAAACTCTTCAACTCCACGCAAGTATGCTGAACTTAACCTATTTGCATAGTAATGCATATAAAAAATCAAATTTCTTAAATTGTTGTTATTAGATTAAGTAACCTAATCAAACTACAATCTGAAGTACCTTGACTGAGTTATCCAACTTGTATCTATGATATTACAACAAGCAACCTAAATAAAAAATATGGACAAGAAATATATTATTGGTAAACATGATAACAATTTAGTCAAGGTATTTGAAAAGAATAAAAAAGTAACATGTACAAAAAAAAAAAATCATGACTACTCCATTAAAACAAATTCCTCAACAAAATGTAGCTAGGGTTCCTAAGAATGATCGTAAATTTTTAGTAAAATATCATTATGCAAGATGGGTCCATTGTGTACAGCAAGAAAGTAACAGGTAATAGTTCAAATCTCCAAAAGTTCCACATGAACATAAATAAATTATTTGCATTAATCAAAATAAAAACATATTACAACACGATTATTTGTAAGAGCTGACAATTCAACAAGATGATATACCAAAGTTAATTTACCTATCATGCAACAAGTAGAATATATATATTGATGAACTAATGAAACTCATAAGGAATAATTTTAAATGAATAGATAAAAAATTAAAAAGTAGGAAAAGCAATCATCAATACCTTCAAAGAATATTAGCTAATCAAATGCGAGTTATCCCTTCTTGATTGCTAATGTGAAGGAAACCGAGACAAATGTTGAATTATAGTGGTCACATTGTTAGCAATAGCAAGAACATAGCAAGCTCAGTGTCTTGTAGCATACAAAAACATAATTTTTTGTTCAAGTAGAAGGCAAACAAGAGAACAAAATTGTATTTGACAAAAAAAGAAACCGAATATTATATAAAAACACTAATCTGACCAAGATTCAACTCTCAGGGTTTTAGAATCAACAAGATGTAAAACATAAAGACTCAGTCAAGATTTCTCTCTAAGATATTATCCCTAAGGTTTCGTAGGACTTGTAAAGTTTTATTCTCAGATTATTGCTTGTTGGTGGGATCTGATTTTTCACCTCATTCTTCACATTTTTTTTTTTTTTTGATAAGTAAAATTCATTAAAGGCACTCAAAAGGGGAGCACTCCCAAGAGAACAAAAAGCCACTACCAGCGACATTCTTCACAACTTTATTAATATTATTTGATTCAATTTCAGATCCATTAGTAAATTTTTCTTCAAAGCTTCAGCATTTTGAATCAAATCTTTGATTCTTCATTAATCTTCATTTTTTACAAAAAGATTTTTTGAGAATATATCTTTTTCAAGAGCCATTTTTTAATGATAGAAAGAATACTTTCAGCAACCACTTCTTTTGCAACAAGACCAATGCCTATTGACAAATCTTAAATCTTATTAGATTTAATCCTTGTTATCTCACTTACTAGAAGACATCCACCATTCATGTCTAGAGCACATACATGATACATCCAGCATTCATGTCTAGAGCACATACATCATCGTGTATAAACTATATTACTCATTAATGCCAAGACTTTTATATTTAATTTCACCTTAAATAATTTCATCTTAGGATCGTATCTCTCATTGAGTTATATTATTTAAACCATTATTTAAGGTCCAAACTTTAAATTTGTCTTATTAGTGCTGCTCAATTTAAGAATTGTCAATTGAATTATTCTACATTAGTCTCCCTGGCCATAATTCCCTACAAACTATAAGTCGTGTAAGTCTAAAAATTTATGGCAGTTACATTATCAAACCCCTCTCATTTACTTGTGTCAAAAGTTTATATACTTTGTATTACTAATTCATTAATACAAGTCTCTCTTTTCTATTTCTAATTTTCTTTAGGCTTATGTTCAGTTAGATGGAAATGGTTGGAGTCTAGAGAGAGGTTTTCTTTTTTCTTTTTTTTAACATTTTACAAGTTTGGAAGGCAAGAAAAGAATAATTTTGAGGGAAGTAATTTTCCTTAACTGCTTAACTTTTCCACAAATTCGTCCTCTAGAAAACATAAGAAAATTACCATTCAAAAAAAAAAACATAAGAAAACTTACTTTCTTGGAAACTGATATGAACCAACAGCTTGCCCATAAATTCTCTCTAAAATAAAATGTTTTTATAAATCAATTTTGAAAGAAAGGTCTAATGGTTCATATCTCTCTCTAAATAAACTATAAAAAAAAAATTATTTAGATTCTCCAATAATTTTTACTTTTTGAGATCAGATAAAAATATTTATTTGAGACAAGTTTATTTAGATATGTTTTCTTGTTCAACAAAAAAGAGAAAAAAAAAAAAAAAAAAAAAAAAAAAAAAAAAAGGTAAACAATAATATTTTCTTGCAAATTTTAAGCTACCAAACTATTAAATCAAATTTCTAACAAAATTTTCATTCTAACCAAATACATGTTGAAAAAATTATTTTCCTTATTCCACTTCAATTTCTATTACTTCCACCTTGTAGTGGCTATTTCATTCTAACTAAACAGAGCCTTAAGATTGCAACTTCATTTATTTTATCTTTTACTTATTTATTTATTATCCTTATTACCTTTTTCCTAGAAACTTTTTAGTAGGATTTTATCTCAACGTTGAATAATGTACTCTTTTTTTTTTCTTTTCAAAAAACGTAATGATACAAGCCCTTCTACAACGATCATCTTCTCTCTCCTTTTTATACAATCTTTCTATAGGGAATTAATGAATTCACAATATATTGTAGGTTGAATGGAGTATGGGAAGTGAGTGTGACAATGTGAATGTGATTGGACAGATTGACAGGAAAACATGGTTTATACAAAGATCGTTAGTTTCTCTTATCTTTTTCTCAACACCAAAGGCTTCACAACACACTGGAGAGCTTTTCAATCCCACCCTAAAACGCCAATTCTCCTAGAGTGCCAAAGTCATCCTTATTGTCGATGCAACATTATTAAGTCAAAAGAAAGCCAGGAAAGAATCCAACTTTTGCGAAGGCAGAATCCTCTTGTTCCTTCAGAAGGTAGACAGCAAATCTAACTAAACAAAACACTATCACTATTACCTGAATTCAATTGAATTTCATAATAAACATTACATATTATAATACGTTACTGGGTAATAGTTGTCGAGGATGTATAAACCACATGAGAAATCAGAAGGCTTTTAATGGCATACTTTATTTATTAACAATGGCACTACTAGAACAACTATAAAGTGCCCTTTGGTAAAACTAAAAATTTCAAGCACTAAATTTTAAGAGTTGAATGTATTACTTTGAAAACCTATTTGATATTGTCTTAATTTTAACTTTTTAAGCATTGAATTCATTAAGATTGTAGAATACAAAAGCTGAAATCTGAATGTTGTACCGATTAAATTTTTACCCTCAATATGCATATATGCAAAACAAAATATATTGTCTAACTATGGAGTAAGAAAATCTTGATTCATTTTTCTAGACAAATGACATGTCAAAATATGTGTACAAATTATCTAAAAAGTAGAAAATACTGCATATTGTAATTCTAGATAATCAACTGCTACATGCAATAAATAAATTTTCTTTCTTCTACCAAGTGTTCTTGTTCTTCCATACAACTATTCACCTTCTATAAAATATCCTACTATCTTCAATTGTTACCTACCATCTAAATTCCATAATCCACCAACCATTCTACCCATCCCACCTAAATTCCAACAACAATGATACTATCCAGCTTTTATAAAATATCCTACCATCTTCAAGTGTTATCTACTATCTAAAGAGTTTCACTCTATCAACCAAACACTCTAACCATCCTACAACAATGAAGAGCTGTCACACCCGCATTTACACCCCTTTTGGATTGGAGCTCCCCTAAAGCTAGACATGTATTTCCCCATATGGAGGTGAGCTGTCGGAATCCATGGGGTAAAATCATGAACCTAATGCGAGGGTGGGAAAATTACTACGTATCAAGGTGTTTCCGACCCATTTAATAACCCATTTCTCTCTCTCTCTCTCTCTAGACAGCATTTCCTGAAGTTGGTTGAGCTCCTCAACCAAACACCCATTCCACGTCACATTTGAAATTAAACATACAGTTAGCCAAAAACTTAAAAAAAAAATTTTAAAACAACAATCTTAAGAAATTCTTAGGAAATATTTTTTTTTCTTTGTTTCAAAAAGGATGTCTTTTTTAATAAACTTTTAACCCTTAAAGAAGAACGTTTCTTTTAGGAAATTCTTACTACATTCTTCTTCAGTCCCAAAAAAAGATTACTCTTTTAGAAAATTGTACAGAAAAAGTATACAGTAAGAGAATTTTTAAGCCCCATATTTTTGTATCCTTAATTGTCTTAGAGGATCCAATTTCGATTCCCAACTAATCATATTGAGATTTGTTTGAATTTTAATTGATATTTATATACAGTATTATTTTAACCACCAAACATTAAAAAATAGTAAAAATATTATTATTATTAATTTTAATTAACGACAAATTGTATATTATTTATATACAGTTTTCTCAATGTTGGAACACAAAAAAAAAAAAAGAAAGAAATTACCTGAAAAATGAAATCAGACTAATCAACGACAAAACTTGTTCCAACAATCCAAGCTACGATCGATTATTTCCTCTCGTACAAAGAAAAAAAAATTGAAAACAACAATCTTAGGTACAGAATGAGATCAAATAGTGGTTGCAGAATCATTGAAATTGGGAGGATGCGTTGTCGCTTGAACTAAATTCCAAATCAAACCGACCTGATCTTGTTTACACTGTGATTTTTTGATCAATTGTGATTAAACTGATTTTGTGCGTATAAGTTATTTAGTTACACGGCACTTATAAACAACTTTTGTTTCATCAATAGAACTATAATTTTATGAGAACGACCTCTTTTGAGATCTCCGTGCTATGGACAATGACCCCAACCTAAATAATGGTAGGTTTGGTTTTTTCATCATTTTTACATTGAGAAAATTATTACACTGGAACACTATGCAATGATCATAGTTGCTCTTCCAAATTCTCCGGTCGCTAAGTTGTTAACAAATTTCATTCCTCATCAACTCGAAATTATGGTTTCATGATTCATACTTGGAGAATTATAAACACGGGAAAAGAAAATCAATGAAAATGGGGGAGACTAATAATTTTCATTGTTTATCAAATTAGAGTCAAAATAAATGCTTATCGTTGAAAGTTCATATAATACTTGATAAATAAATAGAAGTGCCTTTAAGCAATATTTGTTCTAGATTTTTAAGAATTTTATTCATACGCAATGATATAAATATAAGAATTCGCATTCTATAAATTGACATGGTATAATAATACTCCGTATTATAAAAATCTCAAATCAAACCCACCTAATCTTGTTTACTGTTTTGGCTATTTCCGTATTCCCAGCTTGATAATGGCACTTCTTCCCCTACGCACTCGAAGCCGAATTGCTTCAAAATCTACTTAGATGATGTCTAGAATAGGAATGGTTGGGTTGGGAATAGGAAGATAGAGAGAGTGATGGTTCAAGCTTTCACTTGAAGAAGTTCGAATCGTTGACCGGTGATGGAAGGGCGCGACCAGTGATGGAAGGGCGAGACCACGAGAGAACTATGATGGAAGGCGAGAGAACAGCTGAGATGGAAGGCAAGAGAACGGCATGATGAGAGAGCTATGATGGAAGGCGCGACCGGTGATGGAAGGGTGAGACCGTGATGAGAGAGCTGTGATGGAAGGCGAGAGAA